TGTTTAGGAGCGCGATGGGCCTATACGCTTTAGGTTGTGTGTAGTCGTCCTTCTCTGGCTTCCGGAGGACTACCGTAACTGCGTCCCTAAAGTGCGCGGGGCAGTATCCTTGTCGTAGGCATGCGTTGAACAGCCTATGGAGGCTCGGGAGCAGGATGTCGATCTAAGTGATGATGATGTGCCGCCCCAGCCTCCGCTGATCCATCAGGCATTCGAGCGGATCTCCCTACGCGCGGACTTCCTACGTAGATTTATATATGGACATCTCGTTCCAGAGTACTCTCAAGTAAAATCGGAGCCAAATATAAAATTATATTAACTACTGGTTGGACCTCGTAAGAATCTGCTGTCCCTACTCCCATGAACTCTCAATATGATGGGCACCACCCAAGGTCTGCTCAGCTCGTATATACAAGATCATACTGCTACGACGAGAGCAAGAGCTAAATGACAGGTGTGGGCGTGCAACCAGACCTAAGTACTGGAGCAGAGCCATGACATGAGCGTGACCACGTATATGACATAACATGAGAACAGGATGACAGGAATGGGGAATCCCATGATACTCAAGCACCTTCAGTCATATATCCAGTGACTACTACTGGTCGGGGATACATTGTTTCCTTTCATTATTAGTCGCTATTAGTCGCTTTTGTAACATAAGGGGCAAATTTCATACCAAGTTACCTGGCATAATAGGCAAGACTTCCTTATCTGAGCGAAAGACGAAGTCTCTCCGTGTCCTAGGGATAGAGATCGAAAAATAAATCCTGGCGCCGTAAGTTCGATGAAGCGTATGTCCAGTTTTAACAAGGGTTTTCCATCGCTTCCGGAAGTTTTCGCCGCTTCTATCTCTGTTCCGGGTTTGCTTGTGTGGGGAACAATTTTTATATCCCGAGTCGTTTAACAGTTCTGGAGCGGATAGCTCTGCGCTTAGCATCTGTTTCTCCATGGCTGTTTGCAGAAGTGGAGGTGCCTGCTTAGAGTAGGTCTTGATCGGATATCAAACGCCGTTTTATGAATACTGGATGTAGGCCTTGCAGATCTTAGATTGTGATTTCTGATCCTGGATTCCAAACCTCTGGTTCAAGGATCCGGATTTCCAGAGCATAAGCAGTGGGTTCTGGTCCTGGATTCCAGACCTCTGGTTCAAGAATCCGGATTTCCAGAGCATAAGCAATGTCACAACAGGCTATAACGATGCTGCCGCCCTCAATTCACGAAGGTAATCTATGCGAGTGGGAAATGTACTTCAAGAAGCTGAGGACCAAGTAGTTTATAACCTACGTAGAGGAAGGCAGAGGTTGCTATACCTAGCAGGGCGAAGTAAGTTCCAGCTAGCAGTATGACGTTATCTATTTACTATGATGTCATTTTTGGTTATAGCGGCTGCAGCCAAAAACAGATAAAGGGATGTGTAACGTTAAGTAGTTTTAAAATAGACATGAGTCATTTAGGTGGTATAGCAATCCACAAACCCGTGATTCTCTACAATGGAAGCTGAAATCTGAGGCCGTGTGACGGCGCCTGCCGTCGGAGTGCAGGTGCGCCACTGAGTGCGCGTGCCCCACCTGCCCTGGCATTTAACCTCTGCATCGCGAGAGCTCTTCCAGCTTCTCTTCCTTTTCTCCTCATCTTGCGATTTTAGAGAATTGAGTCGGCCTTTGCAGTGCCCTTGTGCCTCGCCTAACGCCACTCGCCTCTCACACATAGTAGTCCACGAGAGCAGTAATTTTTGCGAGCAGCTTGAGGCTGACAAGTCTAGGCACCTGTCGGTTACAGCCGTGAAAGATATACATCAAGATTAGGAATGCTTGCGGGTCCTAGTCGTCAGCAAATATATGCCGGCAGCCGTCAGCCGAGACGGACGTCACTTCTTTCCAAGGACCGTTCAGCGTAACCTTGAAGTAGGGAGATACCAGGATCAGGTGCCTCGACGAAACTCGTAGTTATATCCCCGGTGATTCCGAGATGGGTTGGTCCTCTCCTTGCTCCGTGGAGCCACCCCCTAGCAAATCATCTAGGTCGGAAACGATGAGTTCAGCTTCAATAGTGGATTCCGCTTCGGTGGCAGGCTCTCCTGCTACGACGCTAGGAGCTTCCTGGGCGCGGTCTTCCTCGACGGGGGCTTCCTCGATAGTGATAACTTCCTCAGCCGAGGCCTCCTCAATGGCAAGGACTTCCCCGATGGCGGCGGCTTCAGCTGCGATGGCGGGTTCCACTTCAGTAGCAGCTTCATCCCTCACTGCGATGGCTTCTGTTTCGATGACTGGTTCAGCTTCCGGAGAGGTATACCGGAAAACACCTGGGACGGAACAGAAAAAGACCTACTACTCTTTTTCTTCTTGTTCTTTTTCGTCTTGCCAGGGTGGCTAGTAGTCTGAAACTCTGCATCTACTGCGGGGCCGGGGGCATCCTCGGGGGCATCCTCGGCGGGAGCTTCCTCCAAAAACCAAATCGTATCTGCTGTGCTAGGGGTGGCTTCCGCGAATGGCGCGCCCGGATTACGAAGGATAATAATAAAGTCTCCGCTGGGATCTACTTTATATATTCCTTCCATACTGATGCTAATAGACTTGATCACAGATAAGCTCGTAAAAGTTGCCAGCATTCGCCACGCTAAAGAGAGGTCTAACCTGGCTAAAGTCAAAGTTATTGGAGGTAACCGCGACGGAGAGCCTTGGGAGGTTGTTCCAAGGGCTGTAAAGACCTTCCCAGACTATAGGGGATAAGAGGCGGATGGTTTCAGAGCGCAAACAAGAACAAGTCAGCCACCGCCGAGTTGGTCACGTGTGAGGGCGCAGGCAATAAGAAGGCGAGGCGCAGGGCACTGCAAATACTACCTTATTCCCAAGATCGAAAGCTAGAAAAGGAAGAAAATACAATACAGGATGTGGCCGTCTGCGGCCGGGAAGAAGGACCGCGGTGGTCGGTCACGTGAATTGGCACGTGACAGGGCATGACGAGGTCTGCCAGGCTAGCTGGCTGGCAGCCGCCGTCACATCACGAGTTACACCAGACCGAGCCAACCATTTCAGGGCTTGCTATAAATAAATCGAGCAGCCTTGCCGGGACATCAACACACATCACACTGGCGGATAACAGAATACGTGTGACGTTTTTACTAGCTAGCATGGAACGCCTCCCGGATGCGGGACATACGGGAGAAAAAGCAACCGACGGGACGACCTCATCGGTGGCATACCCGTCCGGATCGCGGCGACTCTTCATCGAGAGGCGCTCAGGGATCGTCCCAACGCCCGAAGCGCCAGGTAAGCGCGGCACTACCGCCCGCCGTCGTCATGAGAATGCACCAGGAGCTGGTCGTCTTCGACTTCTTAGTGGGGCAATCGATCTATCCTAATACAGTAGTCCCGAGGATGTGCCGAGACTGATTCGAATTTGAATGAGTCCCAGCTCCTCCTCTGATTCGCCGTCAATTGCCCCATAAAGCATTCAGACACGCCCACCGGAACTAAGAGAGCGGGCACCGTGTAGAGAGAATTCGCGGCGCTAAATTACGGGCTTCAGTGTGATCAAACTGATTTCCGATGCATTCTTACCTATATCGCTCCGTTTTAATCGGCCATAGCCGTCGCCTGACGTGGTACACAAGTATGTTCCCTGACGGTGAATCACAGGAGGAGCTGGGACTAATCAGCCACACCTGTCCGGCCGACCGAAGCCGGACACAGCCACCTCCAACAATATGCCCTCAGCTAAGATGCAATTCGGAGCAGGTGTGGGAAGAGGCGGACAACGACGAGCTCAGTTTTTGACTATATTAGGGTGATCGTGCGTCAAGGCTCGCGCTACGTCTTCGAGGCGGGCTGCTCGGAAGGAGAAGCGTCTAGCCAAGCTAGGCCATCTGCAGACTGGGCCCATCTTGCTTATCTTCCCTCCAAACTGCAGACCGGCGACTCAGTGAACGAGGCGTGCTCTCTACAAACGTCGCGTGGTGCGGCGTGGCGGTGGTGATAGGGGGTGGTGGAGGTGTCGGCTGCTGCCGCGCTCTTGGGGTCGAGTCTGGCGAGTTGGCCTGCGGACTGCCCGGGGCGGTGTCCGGCAGCGACGACTCGGCCCGATCCGCCTCGGCAGGCGGCGAGCCTGAGCCGTGTGTCCCGCAGCTGGGGGAGCCGCCGGCGTAGTGGGCGGGAGGAAGGAACTAAAAACCAAATAAGAGAAAAAAAAAAGAAGAAAAAAAAAGAAGAAAAAAAAGAAGAAAAAAAAGAAGAAAAAAAAGAAGAAAAAAAAAGAAGAAAAAAAGAAGAAAAAAAAGAAGAAAAAAGAAGAAAAAAAAAGAAGAAAAAAAAAGAAGAAAAAAAGAAAAGGACTATGTGTAACGGGCTGGACCCGTGGTGGCCTCGGCAACCCTTGGCATGCTCATGTGTTTCCGCACGTGACAGCTAGGTACTAAGAGCTGTCAGCGCTCTCCTGTCGTTAGCTTTCCTCTTTTCTCTCCCCATTCGAGGCAATCAAGTCAATTCCCCCTGCGCCTTGTGCATCTACTTCAGCCAACGCGAGGACAGTCAACTATGTTCCAGATTCTCTTCTACACAATCCATCTCTCAAAAGCTTATCTTTTCGGAGAGGGTCAAAAAACAGGGGGTTTCCTGGATCAGAAAACGGGCGCCTCTTTTCCTCTATCAGTGTCGTCCGTTTTTAGGAAAACGGTGAAGCTGGCTGCGCCGCAGAACCGTTCAGGCTTGTGCAGCAAGTGCGGCACAGCCAGCGCCAATCGAGCACTGCTCTCGGGCGCAGCCCCGGCCACCCGACCCCCCGCTCCGATCAGCCCCTTGTGCACGAGCCCTACTTTGGTCTTGAGATCCAGCGGAGATGGATGAAGTCGGGCTGCACTCCGTAGGGCTCTCTCATTTGAGAGTGTCCGATCGATCACAAGCGGCCTCTTGACAAAGCTCGCCAATGCGTGAACTAACTACCTCGACGCATTCACGTATTTTTCACCAGTGTTTTCGCATGCGTGCAGCCCAATAGCTGCCATGGCTTTGACTCTAGTATCTCAATCCTCTGGGGTACCACTGTCGCCTGCAAAGCAGCTCAATGAGGCGGTTGATGATTTCCAGAGAATCCTGACAGAGGACCAATGGACGGCGCTCAAAAAAATAAAATCCATCCCCGACGCCGATGCCGTGCTCGTGTTCACCGCGCAGCTTGACTCGAGTCAACACGGGCGCGGGCGCAGCATCGCTACCCGGCTGCATTCCGTCCTTCAGTCTGTGCGAGAATTCTCTGCAGTCATCGGCACGTTCGTCTCATCAAACCCAGAGATAGCTGCTCTGATCTGGGGAAGCGATAGCTGCTCTGATCTGGGGAAGCGTCAAGCTTACGATACAGGTACGCTGTGTGGGAAATTTACCGCCCAAACACGAGCCGCTAACTCAGACGAGATTGTATTAAACTTCACATCTTACTATGAAGCGTTTTCTAACCTCTTCATGTGTTTCGCGTCGCACTGTCCACAGTTTGCCGAGTACCAGGTCCTGTATCCGAACTCGAACGGGCTTCAAACAGCCTTATGCAATTTCCACGCTTCTCTTATATTCGGACACCGCCGCACGCCCGCAGGATGCGGTTCAGGAACCCTCGGCCCCACCCGCCGATCCCGGACAGCAGGGTACAGGCAAAAGCTTTGAGGACGACGAGGAGGCGATGGCCGAGATGGATGGTCTTTGGTGAAGGGGTCCGTCCTTTTGTTAACTTGTTTAATATGAGGTGTACGAACTGAATGACCGCATAGTCCAGAAACCGACGCGCTACGAGATAACGCCCGGTTACCTACCCACGAGCTCGTGTTAGTCCAGCTAACCCATATATCAGTGTCAGCTCTGGGGTAGTTTGATCGTCCTGTTTTGGCAGAAAGCGAAGTGTGTAACCAAGGCACCGTTCAGTGTGGAGGGGCAGTCGTTGGCTGGCCTCTCCCAAGCACATGACCAAGGCATACTGTACAGAAACACGGCATTGGCTTTTTCTCAGTACATGTATCGCAGCCTCGCCCGTCGCCATCCAAACACCACACCAGCTTACCCCGCACTTGGGCAGGAAACCGAAAACTAGTCATCTTTCACCCTTGCTCGGAAACCATTTTGGAGAACGATATACTATAAGGTTAGGTATATTGTGGTGTCAACATGGTGACGTTTCCTAAAGCCGCGCGGTTCGAAAACCCGCGGCAGAGCTATTGGAGGCCAAGTTCCCCCAGTCGCCCGGAAACCGGCCCAACCCATACCATTGCACCTCCAACTCGATCAAATCGAAGACGGACTCCCGCGTCCGCTGCGGCCCCTGCAGCTCAGAGGGCGGCAAGAGCGACGACATCTGTGACATGTTGGTGTTCCATTCGAGCCATTGTATATTCTTGCGGGTCTTCATACTAACTTAGGCATTGTAATGTGAAGCTCCCGCCCCTGCCGGTTCGTCCACTCCACAGAGCCCAATCGCACAGTCACGGCGTCCGAGTCAACATGGCCCACTTGCAGCCCAAATCGTGGCTCCGGCCACCGATGGCGCCCAAGAAGGCTCTCGAAACCAGCTCGCTCGTGCTAGCCCCAAGTCTGATGACCTACCGAGCCCGTCCGTTGCTCCTTCTCGGGCACGATCCACTGCAACTTCGTCGACTAGTAGTAGCTCTCGGCCACCAAGCCCTCCCAGCTCACCGCCAACTCCTCCGGGCGGCCCGGTCCCGCCAACAGGAGCTGGATTCGACGCTCCTGACTCTGACAACGAAACTGTTCTGAAAATTTGCAGATCCAGGATGACAGGAGGGGAGACCGTGTTCGTAAGACCACGGGGCCGTAAACCTGTAAGCAAACCTGTGCACAAATCACTCAAGTTTTTAGTTTATGCAGCGGGCGGTCGACGGTAGCTGGAACTCTGTTGAAGGCCACGAACGCAGAAGAGCTGAGAATGTGGATCTTGCTTGTAGTCTGAGGGAGAATGTCGGTAAACTAGGGCTTATATCATGTACTGTACTTCTTTATGGAGGAATGACGATTCGTGTCAGTGTCTAAATCCAAACATAAAGGATCTTGAGGCTATTAGTGTGCCAATAGACTCTTCCATCGGCAGAGTGTCCGTCAGAACGTGCAACATCCAGGGCCTTAACGGGTCTCAGGGCAGCCCCATAACCTTCACGCAGCCTTCTGCAAGGCAGACGAGGCACGATGCCTGCTATGCGGCTGCGGAGCGCACACGCGAGACGAAACAGCCAGAGAACGCGAGGCCCAGTGCCCAGTCCGGCAGAACCCAGCTGCCAACACACCGAAGTGTATCAACTGCGGGGGAGCACACCCAGCCTACGATGCAGACTGCAAGATAGCGAAGGAGCAACGACACCGCGCAAGACAGCGCTTTCTAGACCGGCCGCTTACATTTCAAACCCCCCCGGTATCCCGGGTAGCCTTCGTGGGCACGACGGCCCATCTGTGACGCGCTGCAGGACCGCGTTCCCAAGGGGCCATTCCTCGAACGTCGCAGCAGCGTCTCTGTCCGTCTCAGGGTCCCTTTCCAGGGTGGTTTCCGATGACGACAATGGGCGGGAAGTGCTGCGCTTCCCCCGGCGCTCCGGGCGCCGGGACGATCCCCGAGCCTCCTTCGGTGAAGGGTTGCCGCGATCTGAACGGGTCTGCTGAGAGGCGGTTCCCCCGGTTGCAACGGTGACAGTGGCCGCCTTACGGCGTTTGGGGAGCGGTCGCCGGACATCATCCTCGTCGCTGTGCTCGGCCTCGCTGCCTACCGCAGGGCAATAGTCCTCTTCATCGGTATCGCGATGTCGACGGCGGCGGAGGTCGCGCTGCGAGGCCATTCCGCCAGCTCGCCGTCTCAGTCACCTTCTCACTAACCCCCTCAGGGCCCGGTGACTCCGGCATGGGCAGCGTCGTGAGCTTCTCCCCCAGCGTCGGCATGTGCTGCATCTCCACCTCCTCACAGTTCGCCAGCAGCCACGCGCGGCAGCGCTCGACATCATCCTCCTCGCCCTCGAGCGCGCCGCAGGGCCCCGCGCGCGTCCAAAACGGCCGCTCGAACCACGCGGGCCAGAACCCGCCAAACTCCCAGTCGAGGATGGCCGTGATCTTGAGCGTCGCGGGGTCGACCAGCACGATGTGCTGGCCTAGGTCGTTGTGGCAGAAGACGAAGTCGCCGCCCCCGAGGTCGGGCCGCGGCCGCCAGCAGCTGTGGTAGTGCCAGTCGGAGGTCGTGACGCGCTGCGGCGCGATGAGGAGTGGCTCGCCGGGGACGCCGGGGATGTCGGAGCGGAGGGCCTTGAGGGTCTCGAGATGCTGCTCGAGCTCCGCCGCGACAACCTGCCGGTGTGCTTCGGGAAGCTCGTCCATCTGCACGCCGGGGAGGAATTCCATGGCCAGACACATGGCACCGTTGTCCTCGAAACACGTCGTCATGGTGGGTAGCGGCATGTTGGTGTGCTCGCGTAGGTACTTTTGCACGGCGGTGTCGGTGCGGTACCGCTGGGGTATGGTCGCGGTGGGCTGCACCAGGAAGCCATCGCCGAGGTCGGTCCACTCGTGCCTCCGGAGGGTCCGCTTGAAGAACAGCTTGTCGAGGTGGTAGATTTTCCGGTCCGCAAAGACGTGCCAGACGCCCGGCTCCTTGTGGTAATCGAGGAAGGCGGCGGGCGGGCCGGGCATTGTGGCGAGCAAGGTCTTGGTTGTCTGTCCACCACTTGGTGTGATTCTCTGCTGTTGGTGGCAGCAGCTCGCTCTCGAATCTCTGTCGGAGCTCGGGTTCGGAATCCTCTCGGTGAGCTGGGAGAAACAAGTGTATTGAAGCAGAAGGCCCCCAAGCCCACGCCGCTCATGCAGGGGATTTTGCTCCAGTGCCGCCAGTCACGTGCATATGTGTGTGGCGCTGGCCGATGAGCACACCGCTCAAAGTGCGGACTGGGTAGGAGATTGATAGTGGTTGGACTTCGATTTGAGATTACTTTTCCCCTCTTCCTCTGCTGCATCGTCACTTTGCCTTTTGTGATTGCATGTGCATTGAACTCACAGGGCAGTCCACTCAACTCCCTTTGCTGGGCTGGTTCGCGGGTGACCGCAACTTACCCCACGAATCGGAATCGCTAAGCGTAGAACAAGCAAGAAGAGGAGGTCGTCAAGCGCTTCAGCGGGGAATACCGAAGGCGACGGGCCGACGGGTGCAGCGCAGTCTGCGGCGGGGATCCATAACCCATTCCGACCACGCTTCGGCGGGCTCACACGACCGCAATCCGTCACCATGTCCAACGCGGCGGTCGGTCCGGTCTACGACACCATCATTTCCGAGGTGATCAATGCTGTGGCGAGTTGGCCTGCGGACTGCCCAGGGCGGTGTCTGGCAGCGACGACTCGGTCCGATCCGCCTTGGCAGGCGGTGAGCCTGAGAGCCGTGTGTCCCGCAGCTGGCGAGCCGCCGGCGTTGTGGGCGGGAAGAAGGAACTAAAAAAAACTAAAAAAAAAAAAAAAAAAAAAGAAAAAGAAAAAAAAAGGACTATGCTCCAGATCATCTTCTACACAATCCATCGCAAAATGGCCCTCCTGTGTGAACGTCACATGAAGCACGCATGAATATCTGCTCTATTCCAGCAAACTGAAGTACTACAAGGCACCCACCTGACCTCAACCGCACTAGAGTCTGGCTCGGGATTTACATGGAGGGGGCCGTGGACAATCCCGCCCGCTGGTGGAATTCCTCGAGCAACTCAGGACATTTCTCGAAATGTGCAGCGGGTTCCCAAGAATTATGCTCCTCCCCATACCTTGCCCACTTGACCAGGTACTCCAATCCCTCTTCACCCTGTTGCCACTCCAAAATCTCCTCGACGTCGAAATACTTGCCGCCTTGAACCTTCTTCTTAGTCGTGGAGACAACTCTTGAAGGGAGAGCGCGCGCCGTCGAGGAAATCCTCCCTGTGGATGGCTTGCGCTGCGGGCTTTCCGGTGCGCGGTCATTTTGTCCATGATCCGTACAAGGATTCCACGTGAACTCCACCTGAAACGTCGCCGTCCCGCCTACCCAAACGCGCTTGAGGACCGCTTCAAGTGGCCATTCCTCAAAGCTTGCGAAAGCGGCCTCGGGTGTCTTCTCTTCCAAAGCGGACGCCGCCCCTGAAGATTGCGGCTTGGAAATGCTGCGCTGGCTTTGGTGGCGCTTTGGACCTTGGGTTGGTGGTGACCGTTGAGCCTGTAGGGATCGAGAGTCGGTGCAAGGAAGACGCGCCTGCCGCTTGGGCGCTGCTCTGCGGGCTGTAGGGGCCGAGGTGTTTACCTTGCGGCGCTTCCCTCGTGGCGGCTGGACGGCATCCTTATCCTCGCCTTGCTTGGCGTCCCTTCCCACAATGGGAGAGCAATCCTCCTCGTCGTCAGTATCGCAACGACGTCGCCGTCGACGACGACCGTTGTCGCGCTGAAGGTTGGCCCGCTCCTGGCTGGCGGACGGCTGCATAGGTGGCTCGGTGTTGGCCAGCTTATGTTCGTCGCCGCTCTCATCGCCGGACAAACTTGGCATGCCTGCCCGACTCGCCTGCGCTTGCGGCGGCGCGATAGGACTCTCTTCGTCCTGCTCTCCTCCGTCGTCTGGAATGGGAGGACGGCGATATCCTGGGTCGTTTGTCTGAACGCTGTCGCCGCGGCAATTACGACGTTGAGAGAGGCGGCAGCTGCTGGACCTCTGTTGTGGATCAACCCCACGACTGGAGGCCGCGTCGCATTGAAGGCGTGGCTCGGCAACCGCCGGATCGAGTTCGGCATCCGCTGGCTCGAGCCTGCTAGTGCTCTTGTCCGGCAATGTGGGTGTGCTTGCCCGGCTCTCCGCCACCGCAGGACACAGCTCGTTGGTAGGACGGTGGTCCGTGCCGACTTGGCTGTTGGGCGGCGGCGGCGGCGGCGGCGGCAGGGGCAGTCCAGCATCGGCCGGCTTGGGCTCGTCACCCTTGTTACCCTCGTCGTCCGGCGGTGGAGGTGTGCGTGCCCGGCTATCTACCAATTGCGGCAGCGTAGCAGTGGTAAGACGGGCCTTATTTTGACGGTGACGGCAAAATGCAGACAGCTGCGGGTCCACGTGCTTGGGACATGTGGTATACGGACGACCTGACCATCCCGCGCACATTAGTTGGCGCTCCGTATGCAGAGCCATAGGCGAGGCATGCGATTCCTTGCCTGGACCGGCCATGCTAGTGACCGAGGGCTCCGGCGCGTTGTGATCGTCAGAAGCAGCGTCGACATCTTTGGCTGCTGAGGCCAAGTCAATATGTTGGCCGGCCGAAAAATACGGGATCCAGGCACATACCTGTATCAGAAATACGGCCGGGTTGGACCTTGCTGCGCGCCTTTCGCAGAAGCCCGTCAAGCGACTCAAAAGACGCATCGGATCGGTTATCGACATCATCAAGCTCGTCGTCGGTTGGGATCCGGATAGCATCGGCCTGCGATCCCCCAGCACTGCTGGGTTGAGGATTGTGCGTAGTCTGCAGGAGCGACGGGGACGAAGGAACCCCAGAGATCGCTGCAGGGGGGCCCTGCTCTTGAACTGGAGGAGGACGGCTCGCAGGCTTGGGACCCGCCACCACTGGAGGGACGTAAAAGACCTGGCGGTCGAGGCAGACTGCCATCGTGCGCCTCGTGATGTTGAAGTGGTGAGAAGATGCCAAAGGTGGTAAGAACAGCTCCTAGAAGCATTTGGCGTGCAAGCTGGCCATCTCGGTACTGCTGGTGTGCTGGGGAACGAGCGTAATATAACTGCGTGCGCGGAGCAAGGCGGACTCGACCTCGGAATCGGTAAGGAGGCTGGAACCGGCCTCCCTGGCTTCCCCGACCCTCCACTTCCCCCCCTCGCTCCCAAACGGGCTCGCAAGAAACCTGCTCGCGAGAAACGTGCTCGGCCGTAAAACGCCTCGTCGTATGCGGTTCCCAGGGGGTGCAGGGGTCGCGGGTGGCGCGGGAACAAGGGATCGGCTCACCGGTCCCTCATAACTCTGCCAATCATGCCATTGCCGAGATAGAAAGGAGCCTGAGAAAAAGGGGCCGCCGCAGGACATCGTTATCGCCACGAATCACGACCCTTGACCTGAGGCTGGCATGATCCGTGTGACGTCGCCGGGGGTGGCCTAGAGCGGCTCAGCCGAAGCGGGAGTTGGCCCGTCGTCTCCTGCAGCGCCTTCCCACATCTGTCTGCATGCGCCTCCTCCTTTTTTCGTCCCATGTCTGGCGTCGCCCATGGCAAGGCAGAATCTCCCCGACTCTCCCCGAGCCGTCTCCAAGGCGCTGTCGTTTCCGCCAATCAGCTCCTTCTTAGAGACGATCTGCCTTGCCGTCGGGGGAGCGGAAGGCGACCGGCAGCGTCAGCAAGGCCACGTCATCGTTTTGGCGGCCGCATCGGCCGGCGTATGGCCCAGAATTAGGCCGCATTCGGAATCAGGCTGGTCACCTGCATGTCTCGCCGCAGCTGCGCTGGCATTCGGTCCGATTGTGGCCAAAAGGGTTCACCGAGACGCTCGGCGAGACGCTCTGGATCCGCCAAGCGAGGGGGGGCCTCCTGGTGTCTCCGCATGTGATGAAATCGATATCTGCAGGAGTTCTGTGACTGGTCAGGATACGCAGGTCTTGCAAATTGCGCGGGGGGACGGAGAGGGGGGGACGGGGGGCTTACCAGGCAGGCATGGATTCTGATCCCACGGGCGAAAGGAGGCACTCTGGAAGGTAGAGTGAAGGGAAATGGGGATGGACGAGGTGAGATGTCGCTGACGGGGAGAAACCAAACGGGTGTTGGGGTGGCTCCAAAGGGGAGAGGAAGCTCGAGGCCGAGACCAGAATCGAGCCAAAAGTTGCAATAGACAAAATGTACCGTAAAGGCCGAGAATGTCTTCATTGGCGACGCGACGGCAGGCGGCTAGGGGACGCCAAAGAGGGCAAGGACGAGGCCGAGGCATCCGGCCTGGCGAAATGGGGATCGGAGCGCGGGCGACATTGAGCTAGCGGGCTGCAGACGAGAGGGCAGGGGGAGAGCGAAGCAGATGAGGAGGCGGGGGGGCCGAGCGAAGGCGATGATGGGAGGGAGAGAAAGTCGAGAGTACGAGAAAGGGACGTCGGAGAGGAGGGCCGCTATTTATGCGGCGGGCGCGGCTGAACCGTGCGAGGACGTGAATCCGACGGAGCGCCATACCCGATCGGGAGGGGCGCGGCTGAACCGTGCGAGGACGTGAATCCGACGGAGCGCCATACCCGATCGGGAGGGGCGCGGCTGAACCGTGCGAGGACGTGAATCCGACGGAGCGCCATACCCGATCGGGAGGGGCGCCATTCCCGGCGGGCGCAACAGCACGTTCTGCATTACAGGAAGAAGGATCTACAATCTCTTAGCGAGTAAGAAGAAAGCCGCTGCAATTTAAGATGACAAACTCGATAATAGAATCTGGGTTATAGTATACTAGAAAGGATTCTAGACATTAGCACTAGTAGATAGAAGATCTTAGGTCGATCTTATTTTGCCGTTGGAACCAGGCATTATAATATAATGCCTATAAGGCTTTGTGTTCCAACAATATTCGCAAGGTGCCAGGGGGTCGAGGTCTGGTCGGTCTATAACCCCCCGGCAATCAAGACAATACCGGCTACTCTTTTGCAACAATACCCCCGACCCTCTAGCCAAGTAATACTTACAGGGGACTTCAACCTTCAACACCCAGCCTGGGACTACTACGAACGCTACGATAACGAAGCCAACAACCTGCTCCAGTTAGCCACCTCTTGGGACCTTAGGCTAGTAACCCCCAAGGGCACTATAACTAGGGAACCACAGGGTAGGCAACGGGGGCGCCCATCGACTATCGACCTAATCTGGGCCTCTACGGACCTTGCCTGCTCCTACTACGGTATTAAAGAAAGGGGAGATTCCGACCACTACCCCCAAGTAGTAGAGGTCTACCTCGAACACCCCCCTATAGCCCCACCCCCCCCTGGTTGGTCCTGGAAAAAGATGGATAAAAAGAGGGTAAAGGCCGAAGCAGCCCTCTTACCAGGCCTCTGCGGCCTAGATAACCCTGGCCCGCAGGGCCTATAGAGCCGTACCCAGTCAGTAGAAGGCCTAGATAAGGCATTCGACTGGCTTGTCGAAGAACTTACAAGGATTGCCAACGCTAGCACCCCCCGAAGGAAGCCTAACAATGGATTTCAAGCCCCCTGGTGGACGAACGAGGTGCAACAAAAGGTCCAGGGGGCCCGGGAGGCCGAACGTATGGCTAAAGCCGCACCTACAGCCTATAACAAGGCCCAGCTAAATCAGAGACTCCGGGACCTTTCAAGGGCTATACGACAGGCTAGAACAAGGACCTGGAGGTCTACCCTACAGGAAGCCAGTCATAACGAATCACTCCTTTGGAGCCTAGAACGGTGGGCTCGTTGCAAGAGCTTCCAGCCTACTAGCCCCCCTAGGCTCCCGGCTATCAACGGCTATACCACCCATACCCAGAAGGCCCAGGCCCTGGCCAACCGTTTCTTTCCAAGCCCGCCAGCTGACCTCTCCAACATCCAAGATCCCACCTTTTCCCAGCCATGGGAACCGAAGATCCCAATAAGCCAGGTGGTTAGTGCTAGGGACATACAAGATGCCATTGCCCGGGCCGCTCCCTGGAAGGCCCCAGGTAACGACTACCTCCCTATAGGCCTATTGAAGGCCTGTGGTAGGCCATTGTACAGGATCCTCGCACTACTCACCCAGAGATGCCTCGAACTACAATGGGTGCCAGCCAGGCTAAAGGAGGCTATAGCTATAGTGCTCCCAAAGCCTGGTAAAACCCCAGCTGACTACCTTACCCCCGGAGGCTATAGGCCTATTTCGCTCCTTCCTACCATTGGCAAGGTAGTGGAAATAGTGGTTACCAAAAGAATCACAGAGGCAGCCGAAGCCTACGGCCTATTACCCGACGAGCAGATGGGTAACCGAGAATATAGGTCAACTGTGACGAAACCACAGGCAGTCCTGCCTCTGAAAGGGTTCGCCGGTCGAAGGTATCTGCTGATCGGACTGTAGGTCTCGGTGAAGCCAAAAGGTTTATAACAATGCAAGTCGCAATGTCTGCGCAGTAATGTAGGGCTACTTTACTGCTTGTATTGCTCACTGGAGGACTCTCAGAGCCCTCTGTAACGAATGACTATATACTAGCTATTTTTCCGTGGACGCCCACGCTCGCCGTCGTCCTCGGGCGTCCATGGTCGCTGGTGCTCGCTAGCGTCCCTGGGCGTCCATACGGACGCTCCTGGACGCTGTCGTCCCTCGGCGTCTATGTGGGGCATCTACTGCCTCATGCTCTCCGATTGGTAACTTTATTACCTGCATGGCCCCACCAGGTCGGGTTATATGGTTGGTTTATAACACGATGCCCCTTCTCGACGTCTTTCGCCCCAAAAGACCTTGGCCGTCGTTGTATTTCCTTTTAGCGCCAACTGCCCCCTTGATTTAGTCCCCTGGTAAGTTGTTATTCTTCTCCCTTCACTGTTGCTATAGCTGACATAGTAGTGGCTAGGCCCTGTCGAAACCGTGCCTTCGAACGTCGTATTGCTATAATAGCGATTGAACGCAATGGCGAGGAGTCCGATATACCTTGCGAACGTTATTGGAACGCAAAGCCATATAGGCGTTGTATTATAGTGCCTGGTTCTGACAAGTGCTCTTCTTATGTTCGTATAGGGAAGAAATACAGTGGTCCTAGCATTGCGAACGCTTATAGGTATCCTCTTCGTTTGTATTTGCTAGGCCCTTCCTAATAGAATAGTGGTGGCAAACTTATCGGCTCGCGACAAGATTGATAAAGCGATTATAGATGCTAAACGTCAGCTTGCTAAGGCGTTAAGCTATCTTTCCTGTCTTCGATAATAGCGCCAACGCCTGGCAGAGACCGGCTTATCATTGCTGGCTTATAGACTGGAGAGTCTAGAAGAGGATGGGCCTCCTTCCCTAGAACCGATATCGGAGGAGCAGCAACTTGTTGGTCAGGCGCAGGCCTTAGGTGCCTTTGGTATAGTTGACTGGGAGGCTGCTGGCGTTGTTCCTTATAGGTCTGGTGTTTCGTCAGGGCCCCTTAATTTTGACGCGCTCCTATAGTCCAGGGATTCTCCTCCTGCCGTTGACGAGGTTCGAGGTAGTGCGGGTTCGTAGCCGGTGGCGGTCAGGTCTTGGTCGCGCCTGCCGTGCGTGTCGTATTGTAGCGTGGCTGCCTGTAGCCGCTCTTTCCTGCCTGGGGTTCTCAATCTGATTCTTGTTGCCTGTTTCCCAAATGAAATGGCTCAGTGGTGCAGCTTGGTTATTATACCCGGGCGAATGCTCTGGGAGGTCGTGGGTTCGAATCCCATCTGCGCCCCTTCTCTATGTGAGTGGCTTGACCGCCGGGTCGAGCTATTTACGGGGAGAAGATTTTTGTGCTTTCTTCTTCCCTGGCCGATCTGGATTCCGTCGATGAAATTCCTTTAGTTTTTCCGTGTAGCTAAGGTGTTCCGCTGGCTCCTATAAGTTGTCTTCTAGTCCAAAGTCGAGCCATTTAATTAGATACTCTAGCCTTCTATTGGCTATTCGCAAGTCTAAAATTTCTTTAACGTCCTACTCTTCTTCTTCGTCCTCGGCTTCGATATCCTTTGTAGCCCGTGCGTTTTTAGGTGCTGGTTCGAGGAGCGAGATATAGAAGACGTTAGTACGTAGCTTTATCGTCGGTAGTAACGAAAGTCGGTAGTTGGATATCGAGATTTTTATATTAATCTTAAACGGTCCGATCTTCCTGAAGTCGAGCTTCTGGCTTGGCCGTTTTATTTTCAAGTTTCGAGAGACGAGGTAGACTATGTCTCTTTTCTTAAGGCGAGGTCCCTCGAGCCGATGCTTGTCGTAGTACTCCTTTATTCTAAGTCTGACGAACTCGAGTTCTTCTTTTAATATTATATATAATATATATATCTTTTCTGCCTTGACTTTTGCCCTAGGTACCGTGATATCTGGTCCCTGGTATAGGTTTGCTTCGTAACCAAAATTCGCGAAGAACGGTATGACCTTTGTTGCCTCTGTTGGTATAGTGTTATATATAAGCTGTACTGCTGGCAATAGATCAACCCAGTCGTCTTGCTGGAAGTTGACGAACGTTCTGAGATATTGTTCGACGATCTGGTTAAGCCTTTCTATCTGGCCATCTGTCTGCGGGTAGTATACTATTGAAAGCTTGCTTTTTATGCCTAAACGCTTTATAAGCGCT